AGGCAATGTTCACATTAAGGCTACAATCACATTCGACTGGTGCAACAGCGGTCAGATCATGTCACTCGTACGCAGCCAAACAAATTTTAAGAAACGGAGGTAGGTGGTTTCTGCACAAAATATATAACCAGTTTACTCAAAACACGATGATAATTAAGCTGCAGATGTGTCAACAATTAGACAGCGCTTCGAAGTATTAGCATAAGTGCAGGCAGGATTTGAAGTGTCGATGTAATTGTCGCAGAAGAGGTCGTGAGAAGTGTCGAAGTAATGGTCGCCGAAGAGGTCGTGGGAAGTGTCGAAGTAGTAGTCGCAGGAGAGGTCGTGGGAAGTGTGGTTAACGTATTCCTGCATTGTTTCCGGTAACAGTCAAATCCAGTAGGGCATTTCGTGCAATTTTCCCCTTTCTCATAAGGGCTGCCTTCTGGACTGAAATCACTGTAAAAATTTGATTTTAAGACAACATTATTGCTAAATTCACATAATGATGATAAGTCAATATCGAAAATGCGAATTATAAAGCTTCTATATTTAGCTTCTATATTTAGTGCGTTTACAACTCTCTACTATCACAAATCGTATGCATGCTACTTTACCCTGGTTTGTATATGCAGACTGTGCTTAAATTGCTGTCGTTTTTACATGTTTCAATAGTGCATCCTACCTCAGTCGTTTGCGACCACAACATCTACAAAGAAATGCACAGGTCAGTAAATGACTTGCAGAATGTCTGCATAGAATGAGTTGCAGGTAACTGCTTTCTTTGTTGCTCGTGAGTACGAAGGCGATGGTTTCAACATTCCAGATATAAACACATGTGTTGGTTTGCCATGTCAGTTGATCGTAACTCCACAAACAACATCCAATTTGGATAAATTTAAGTGATTGTCTACGATTCCGTTTGACATGTTACATTATCTCCTTAAGTCCTTAATGCATTTACAAATGAATACTTTTAGCAACTTTTGTTTCACGTATTTTATGCGAAACGAGCACCCCTGAACCATTTTGTTTTTTGCAGTTTTAAAAAAAGAACAGGGACTTAAATCGTCACCTACCGTTTTAAAATAAGAACAGGACCAATTACATGTATTAGTTGTGTAGTCGTACATCTGTTTTCCTTCCATGTAAGTTTTATTGAGGTTTCTAATAATAGTTTGGTTTTCTTTGCTATGGAAAGTCAAAACGATTCCACAGCCTTGAAATTCAGGACTGACGAATGGGTCTGGATATGAACCCTGACAGCGCATTTGTGCAGCCTTCTCTGCCAACTTCTCCAGTTCAGATGAATAGCTCTGTAACAGAATGATAATAATGATGTGATGGCTCATGTTACAAATTACAGGTTCCTCTGTTTTTGTGAATAGTTTGGTTCCTGCAGATTTACAAGTTTGCTTTCAATGTGCTTCGTTCTAATGTTTTTGAATGAAGCGTGGGTTGATGCATTTACAACGATACAAATCGATGTTGTCTCAATTTCGAGATGCTGGATGCATTGGTGATTTCTTAAACGCAATTTATGTGCTTACGCTACAGCATGGAATCACGTGCGATCCGCGCAGCAGGCTTTCTCACCAATGACTTTGCTGTTATCACCAATACGGTGACTTTTGCAGTGTAGTAAGCTGGCAATAATTGGTGGAAAACAGAAATCGTTTATTTGGTTTTTGGAATTTTAGTTACTGACAGGACCAGAATACCGTCAACGAGGGCAGAAAACAAACAGTGTGTGAATATGACCAAATTAAAACGATTTTATCAACAAAAAATACACTTAAACCATTGCAATCATTTTAAATTTCAAATTGAAAAAAGTACAAGATTGCAATTATGTGAACAAACTGGTGGTGCACAGCCTGACAAGGATTTTTGGGCATTGCAGCATCACCCAGTGGGCCACCTGATTCTCTCCTGCACCAATTGACACGCCGTTTTAAATATAATTTTCTCTAATCAGTTGAAGCTGGTGTTTGTCAATTGTTGTATGAAAGTTTGCATCAGATATGCGGGCTGCACATAAAATCGACAGGTTCATTATTACAAGAATGAAGCAATCCTTAAAATTTAGTGAATGTGCGTTAGATTGCAGAGTAATTTAGTCGTTGCTCGAGTATGTGGAAGGAGCATTTGTGGCTTCCGTATAAGCAGCTTTGAGATAATCTCTGCTCACAATATCCAGCGAATCATATTTGTTATTCGCGGAAAATTTGTCGGCGCATTCTACCACCTTAAAGGGGCCGTCATAGGGTGTCTGCAAAGGCATTTTTCACTATCACCGCGGACAAATACATATGGAGAAGTGGGCAAACTTGGTTGGATCCGTCCTTTCGAATTTCCTTTATGTAGTACTTTTATTGGTCGACATATGATGAAGATAGGAACTCAGTGGAGTGGTCAGATTTGGTGACCATTTCACTACGCAGACGCAAAGTTGGACCGAGTTCAAGTTCTGTTGGCGCGGAGTTAATATCTTCCTTTACCTATTCCGAATGGCTAGCAAAATCAATGGTAATGAGTCCGATCAGTGATTCGAGGCAGCTTTCGCATAAGTGGCTGATTTCAATAAACGATGGAAACGTTCAACCAAGCCATTAGAGGCTGGATGGTATGCTGTAGTTCGAAAATACTTGCATCCAAAAAGGCGGTTTAGGTCTTGAAAAAAAACAAGGCGTGAATTGCGCGCCGAGATTAGATGTAATAGAAATAGGAACATCGAATAAGGAAACCAATGATTCCATGAATGCGTGGGCAACAGTTTTGGCGACATCATCTTTCATAGGCACTGTCATAAGGCAACAAGAAAAGCGGTCCACACAAGTTCGGACATTGGCACAACCACGAGACGGTGGAAGAAGTCCAACTAAGTCCATATGTACACGACGGAAACCCGCGTCCATTGTTGGAAAATGCCCTGGTTGTAAACTTTTATTACGGTGGACTTTGCTACGTTGACATTTGAATGCAGAGTTTAGCCATATGCGAACATTTTTATGAATGCAAGGCCAAACAAAATGGTCAGTTACCAAGAGCATGGTAGCGCAAACATTAGTATGTAGAAAAATTGTGGAAGTGAAAGCTCTTCCAGCTTTGGACTAAGATGTCGACGGAGCTGTTGTAATTCAAGGTCATCCATCTGCAATGTAGCTAACTGTCCAAGATCGATGTCAGGAATTGAAATGTTAGTTCTCTGGAAAAGGTACTGTAACGGGTCTGAGCTGGTTAAAGCTTTCGAGAAAACAAAGATAAAGGCTCAGTGCAACCTTCCAGCTCTTGCTGAACGACTGGGCCTACTGCAGTTTGGGAAGCATCTGTTCGTAACACAGGTTTCGCTTACTTCTTTCACCATCGCATCCTTCATTGCCTGATAGGCAGTTACAGCCTCCTGTGTGAGTGTTAGCCTTTTGATATTACCTTATGGCAAGTCAGTCAAAGGTGACAAAATTTCAGATGCACGTGGAATGAACCCTGCATAATAATTGCCATACAAAGAAACGGCGTAAGGCACGAGCTGATTATGGTATTAGATACTGCGGAATCACTATTGTTCCCTCAGCCAGGGATTTAATAATATCTGCGTCAATTTGGCGTTCGACGAATTCAACACTGTCTACACCAAAGACACATTTCTGAGGGTCAATAGTGATGCCGAAAGCTTTAAGACGGGTCTAAACCTGCCGTAGGTGCAGCAAATGTTCATCATTGTCTTTGCTGGCGATGAGGATATCATCAATGTAGACAAAAACGAATTCGAGATAACAGAGAACTTGATCTATGAATCTCTGAACGGTCAGTGCTGACTTATGTAGACCAAATGGCAATCGTAGGAACTCCAGCCGGCCAAATGGAGTAATAACGGACGTTTTCGGGACACCTTTGACAGCCATTGGAATCTGATGATAAGCACGGACAGGATCAAGTCTTGAAAAGACCTTAGCTCCATTTTAACCCAACGAAAAACCATGGACATAAGAGGTGGGGCACCAGTCAGGAACTGTGGCATTATTTAGGGCTCTTTAATCACCGCAGGTTCTCCAGTCTAGATTTCTTGCGTAGCATGTGTAAAGGGGCCACTCATGGTCTGTTAGAGGGACCGATTATGACGAGACGGCACTTGTGTTTAAACTCTGCTGTGGATGCCTTGAGCTTATCAGGGGCAAGTCGTCTGGCTTTGGCGGTCGTTGGCGGACCTTCAGTCACGGTATGATGCACGAATTTATGAGTAGTGTCGCAGGGCGCCTGAGCCACTTTGACAATCTCGGAGAACTCCCTTA